GGGACTGAGGGCAGGTCATGAAGGCAGAAAATGTCCAGAAATCAATTTTCACTGTGAAATCAGATGTGCTACCACAGGTACAGGAGCTCACAACTATTTTTAAAATATGGAAACGTGGTTAAGCAGAGCAAAGCCTGTTCTCTTCCTCCTTGGTCCCAAACAATTTATTCCCCTTTTCTGGAGGAGTGGAAACACTTCTTCAGGGAGTGCTGAAAATTTATTAGCAAAAATGAGCATCTCTGGCATCTCATAGAAATGGATGCACTGAGATGTGGAGTGGGTGAGAAAGCTGGAAGCAAATGCCAATCCTAGTTTGTTCAGAGAAGCTCTATGCCATTAGAACAGACTGGGCAAGGGGGAGAGAAGGCAACTTTTTTGGTGGGGACCTGAAAACCAAAGAACTTTTTGCAGATGTCTGGCCAACCCAGGACTCAACAGGGCAGTGCTTATTGTAGTGACTATATCTGAGTTATTTAAAAACAGCATCAATAACCATACCATTAGCTTGAAATGGAAGTTTTTTTTTAAAAAATGATAATGGCAATTTGTACCATAGCAGACTTTTTCTGTTGTAGAGATCAATGAGAAATGTCAGTCAACTTAGCCTCTTAACAATACCTTTTAATCCCCTTTCCCAGCTTGGCTGCTGTATTGTGCCTGCAGCCCAGTTACCCACTTGTCCTCTCTGCCACACAGTTCTTAATGCTACAGCTATATGGATTTCCATTCCCTAAATTCATTATAGAAGTATCTATTCCATTAAATGATTCATGTTCTCATTAATCTAGTTTATTACACCATATTTTATAGCCATTAAATTCACTAACAAAGAACACATAATTTTGAAGACAGCTCCTGTGAAATATATCATACTATGAGAAGTGTCATAGACAGGTGCTGCATTTCATACAGCAAGTAAAAAAAAATCTGTGAAATCTTTACAAATGCCATTTCATAACTGGGGCTTGAAAAATCTTGGTCATAAAAACTTAAAATTCAAATTGACAATATGAATCCTGCTTCTGGTTTTTTTTTGCCCCTCAACATTACCTTTCTACCCACCAGCTGATGCATGTGCTGGGTCAGCTCTGCTCAGAGATGACCTGCCTCCCAGGTTTCCTCACCCACACTGCTATGAGTGCCCCCAGCACTGCAACAAATAGGAAAAGCTGCAAGGAATCAACATCCTGTTAAATATTTAGGTGTCTCTTCTTGGATTATGTGAGTCTTTCTGTTTCTCATGTTAAGTTCGCTTTGCTTGAAGACTGTTTTTCAGATATTTCCAGGGACATTGACATGTCCTGTGTCCCATCCAGTGGCATAACCTCACCCCTGCCTGTTGTCTGGAATACACTGCTCACTCCCTTTCCAATAGTTTAAATCTCTTCCCTCTATAATCAAGGTAGTTAAGTGTTTGGCCTGTGCTTGTGATGAGGATTCTGTGCACTTTTTGAAGGGGAGCACAGCCTGGGAATCCCAATGGAATTGAGCAGTTTAATTGCAAGCTATTTTATGGGGAATTGTCAGCTGGCATGTTGATAAGATTTTGCCGGCTGGAGTCCAAAGGCTGTGCTTAATTTCCTGGCAATAAAGGCCATTGCACCCACCTTCATCCTTCTTGGAGAGCACAAAGTGAGATGAGAAGCTGCTCCCCTCTCTCATCGGGAATGGAAGCACCATGTGCTGCCTGTGTGATGCCAATTCTCTCTGCTTTAACTGGCTCTGAGTTACACACTGCATGTCTTTGTGCATCTGACAAATTATATGACAGGTTACAGATTATTCTAATCTGCTCTGCTACTCTTCTGGTATCTGAGAAGGGAGCGCCTACCATATGTGCTGTGTTATCCTAGCTAGTGTATCCAGCCTTGTTTATCTGTCGCCTTCACACCTTATGTTATTCTGTGATTCAAAACTGGTTTACTGTTAACTGTTTACAGTGATTTGAGCAAGATAGACTTGTCAAACGGACAGGAAAAAAGGTTTAATTGCTTATTTCCCCTGGTCTCCTGGGGCTGGATCTGTAGGATTCCATTAAAGTGATTAAGGTAAGAAGTAAAAGGCATATGTAAGCTGACTTCTTTCCTGGCTCTCCCAGCAGTTGTCCTTGTTGCAAGTTGACACCGGTGAATGTCCCAACTTTCATCCTTTCCTATCCCACTTTCTTCTATCAGCAGTAGAGATGGACAGAAGGGATGAGCTGTGTTTGAGAATTACAGGCTCAAAAGGCTTTTGTGCAAAGAATTGTCTGCTGCATTGCTGATGTTTGGACTACTTTCTGTACTTGTTTTACTGTTACAGGAAGCATTTCACCCTGCAGTATCATCCCACATCTTCCTCCATAATATCTTGTGAAAAATTTATGTAAACCGACTTTGTTTTAGCAGTCAGGCATTCCCTCCTTAGAAGCCTGGCAGGATGGGGAGCAGCATGTGCAGCCTGTGCAGGGCAGGGTGTTCTTTGGCTTCAATGAGTCACAAAGCCTGATTTAAAGAATTCATGCTTAGTAATGTGACAGCTGTGATGATGGGTGTGCAGCAAGGAAACAGCTAAGGGACATGTTAAGTCACATGGGGAAAAGCAGATCTTGGCTGCAGATAAATGTGTTGGTTTTCACCCATTTTGATGAAATGAAAGCTGTGTTGACCTGTTACATTTGCTCAACACTAGACTCATAGTTGGTGAATCAGTACGGTAGATTTAGATTCAATGAGGCAGTTGTATCTGTTGATATCTGAAGATCTCAAAAAGAGGAGGGGACAAGAGCAATGCGGATGAATGGTAAAGTGAGAACCTTTTCTAAAATATGCTGTAGTTTCATTGATTTATGCAGTAAATTACATTAACCAGCAAAATTGGCATAATGCAGCTTCCCTTTTGAAGAAAGCTGAGGAAATCAGCGAGGTGAGAACTCTGAACAAACAGCTCTTCTACCTGGTCTTGTGTCTGGTACTGATGCTTTCTGTCCTGTATGCTCTACCATTTGATTTTTGGTGTTTTGCAGTCAGTTTCTGAAGTGCATAAAGGGTCAGAGCAGCTGTGGCCAAGAGCAATAATTTCTCTCTTTCTCTGCATGATTGCCTGCCTGTCTTTTAGGGGTTTCATATAGGAATATATTCTATTACACATAAATACATTCTACATATACCTAAAGTCAGAACTGAGCAGCAAGCAATTGGTCTGGCTGGAGATGTGAGTTGCCCTGCTTATGGAAAGCAAGGCTGGGAGACAGGTAATCTTCCATATCTTTTCTTCTACACTGGTAAAACTGCTGTTCCAGTTGTTGTTTTTCTCATCTGCTTATTGTGAGTCAGTGATTCTGGACTGGAAAGTTCTGGTGCTGGGTCTGAAGTTCATAATTCAGCTTTTTATTTTTATGCTGCTACATGGATGCCCTGATGTTTTAATGAACTCGCATAAATGCTGTGTCTTTTGACTGCTCAGGAAGAAGAATTACATTTGTGTGAACTTCTCATGGATCTGTAAAGGAAGTGCAGAATTATTATTTCTTGTGCCTTTGACATTGTACTTTCAATGTGGATTTCTTACTTCATCCATAACCAGGTACAGGTAGATGAACTGTGTGTAAGTTTGATGCCATGCTGGGTTTAACTCAGGCTCTCTGGTACTATGCTAGTACCACTGGAGGTAGCCAGGTCAAAATATGCTTGGGCACATTTTTCCCTCTAAAATCCCTGCAGATACTCCTCTGGTGACTACAAATGTGTGTTGCCCAGAGTGGCTTTACCCTGCTCAGGTATAACAGAGTGGAGTGTAAAATCCAAGGTGGAACTAAAGACTGCTATTGCACCAGAGAAGATACTCCGGGTTTCCTGGTCAAAAGTTCCTACATGCATGTACTTTGCAACCAAACCAGGGCTTTCTGCTGAGCCCCAGCCCACAGGAAGAGCAGAGCACGCTGAGGCAGTGTGCACACAGCCTGCACAGGAATGTAATTAGCTCATGAAAATATTTGCCACCAGTACAACATGGTGCTTCTCAAATTAGATTATGATAGGAGGCTGAATGCTGGGGTTAAAAAAAAACAAAAAAAAACCCCAAAGAATAATCCCAACTACCTTGTTTTAAGTAGATTTAATGCAAAATTAAGGTAAAGTCTTAGAGGAACACAGCTCTTTAACAGTTATTATGTTTTATGTATTCTCTGATTCATCCCAGCCCCGAGAAATTAACCCATTCTTGACAGCAGTTAACAAGAAATTCATGGTACTTATTTTAATAAATGGGGAGATAGCAGTTTGAAGCTGTCTTTATTTTTTTCCAGTCACTGGTGGAAGAAAAGAGGTTGGGGTTTTTTCCTGGTTAATTTTTTTTTATTTCTTGTTCCTGTCTTCATGTATGTTCTGTTGTTTTGCTGTGCTTTTATTGGTGTTGCTTTGAAAATTTCAGTGTCTCGAGGAAGAAATGCTTGGCCAAATTCTGTCCTCAGTTACTTATGGGTAAAAAAATCAGAGAAATGTATTGACTTTGCTGATATAAAGCTGGATGTTTATTGAAGTAACCCAGTACAAAACAACCGAAATTTATCCTTTTCTCTTTGTTTATTTGTAAATTGACTTGTATAACTTGTAAATAAGTAGTTATGAGGCCACATAACTAAAACACAGCTGTTTGTTTTCTATTGCTTTCAATTCAAGGCAGAGGGTCCAGCCCCTTCCAAAGGGACGTGACCAAAGCAGTGTTTGTCTATTGGTAAAATGGTCAAAACTGCGATATAAAATCTAAAACCACTGCAGCGTTGCACTCTGGCTTTGCCAAATTATCCAAACGTTTGGCGGCAGATCCTTAGGGCCAAGAGCAGAGGTTTGAACGCTGCTTTGTCAGTGTGACGCGTCCAGAGGAGGCTGCAGCCCGGCATTCCCATGGCGAGCGCCGGGCCGCTCCGGGCTGCTGCCTCTCTGCTCTTTGACCCCGCTCCGGCTCGGAGCCCGCTGCCGCCCGCCTCCCTCAGCCCCGCCGCTCTCTCTTGTCGTCTGCAGACAAGAAAAAGGCAGGCAAGTTCCAGCCTTTCAAGAAGCTCTTCGGCAAGAGGAAGAAGAGAGAGCCCGTCTCGGAGTGCGAGGAGCCCAAGCTGAAGCCCAGCCACTCCTTCGGTAGCATCTGCAACGGCGCCTTCTCCTTGGATGGCGAGCCGGGCGGCGGGCTGAGGTGAGTGAGTGCCCCACATCCTTCTAGCCCTGCACTGAGCTGGGCGGCGGGCTGAGGGGAGTGAGTGAGTGCCCTGCACTGCTGGCAGCCCGCACTGAGGTGAGTGAGTGCCCCGCACTGCTGCCAGCCCCAGGCTGAGGGGAGTGAGTGAGTGCCCTGCACTGCTGCCAGCCCGCACTGAGGTGAGTGAGTGCCCCGCACTGCTGCCAGCCCCGCACTGTGACACACCGCGTGTTCCCCCGGCTTCTGGCGGGGCTAAACCTCAGTTCTCCCTCTGCCGAGTGGCAACGATTTGTGCATTGCTTGTTCTGACGCGTGTGCTTCTCTCCTTCCTCGGAATGTGACACCTGCTCCTTCAGAGCTCAAAATCTCGCTGCTTTAAGGGGCTCTGCAAATCAGAAATCCCGGGGGGAAGCAGAGATGAATCTGAATCCAGCTCTGTGATTTAACACAGAGCAGAGGTATTAATGGCACCCCTGTTTTTCAAACTGGGAGAAGAGAAACTTGGACTGCCTGTTAGAGATACTTTATTGCATACATTTTGCTGCAAGGTGGTATCTTTGGGTTGGGACAGACATGTCCTTTTTTGCTCTATCCCAAATAACTTTTGCACTGTAATTGGGGTCAACAAACAGACAGACTTTATTTTGAACCAGTTTGAATGTAGAGTAGAAAAGGGGAGAGAGGGGAGAGAGACTCCTGAAAATCAGATCATATTCCAATGACAGTGGAGGATGACAGAAGGACAGCATGAGAATTTTCTGTGGGGATGGTGGGAGTAAGAAGTTGTACAGAGTAAACAAGTCAGCAATCTCTAACTAGGAACAGGAAAAAACCCCAAACCAAACAAACAAAACCCAAAGAGAAAACCCCTTGCCCCGATAGTAACAAAGCCCCAAAACCAGATGCACAAACTACTAGAGTCAGTAATAACTATTTCACTTTCCAACTGCTCATCTCAGAGAGGTTAGCTGACTCTTGATCAAAGCCTGCTGTTTTGGAAGAAAAAGAACTGATTGCACTGGGAAATGTATCTGGAAGTGTAACAAAAAACTCTGAAAGGGTAAAAAAATTATTCCAAATTCCTCTGCTCAAGAATGAAATGTGTATCAGAAGTGTCACCCTGAGCAGTATTTTTAATGGTGTCTGTGAAAACATGATTTAAAAAATTATTTATTTGGGTGATTTTTTAGCTCTGAGTTTTTTATTCCATTCTGTGAAATTCCTTGAGTACCAGGTTTCCTTTTGGTTTCTGTGATGTAGTTTTGTACACCTCTTTTGCTCGTCCCAATTTTTTCAGAAAATCTGTGCTGAACAAAGCCACGGTGCAACTGGAGGTGTGACTGACACTGCTGTGATGCTTTAGCTGAGTGCACAATGCCAGGCCACTGGAGGAGGTGTCAGTGCCTTTTCCCTCACAAGCAATCTAAATGGCATCATCTCACTATCAGGCATTTCCCACTTGGCATAGCTGAGAGTGCAGTGCTGCGCCCAGAAACAAACAGTGATATGGGAACTTGTCCCATTCCTCAGCAGCGACATGAAGGTGTGGCAGACCTTGTTTGAAAATGTTAAATGTTTGCATTTTTAAACCTGTTGAATTTTCTAATTCACAAAAGCATTAAAAGTTAGCTTCTGGTGGAAAATCAGACTGTACTTAAATCAGAGAGGCTTAGTAAATGTGAAGGGTCCCATGTCTCATGAAGTGGACCATTTCTTTCTGTGATTCCTCAGAGGTTTTGGCCTGCTAGAAATACTCAGTCACAGCTCTGTTTTTCCTGTCATTTTCATGGTGCAAATGTGGGTGGGATTTGATGATAATTATCAGTTTGCAGGTAGTTTTTGCCACATTACTCATTTTACAACAAACTTAAATGTTCAGTGCAGTGCATTTGATTCCTTTGGGAACCTAGTTTTGCCACTCCAGTCTGTTTTCAACGTCTTCCATCCATTATATTTTTTAGCCTTTCCTGTAATTTCAAACATTTATGAATTGAGTGCAGAGATAGGCTAACTAAAATAATACACATCATTGTTTACAAGTAATCTAACAATAAATTCATTGCCATACTTTCCCCTATTCATACAGAAACAGACTAGAGCAAATACAAATAACCAGTAGTATATGTACATAAGCAAAATCCTGAGAAGTTTTGTAAAACCATTTGCTTCTAATTCTTTAAGAATTAAGGAATTATAATAAGCGTATAGTGAAGAAAAACTTAACAAAAGTTCCAATTTTGCAGTTAAACCTCAGGGATGTTCCCATTCTTTTAATAAGCTATATTTCTTCCTCAGCCTGCACATGAATTTGTTATCTACAGATGTGTCCTGTGGACATTTAGCTTTGTTTTGGGGAGAGGAGATGGTTGTTTTGAAAATATATTAAGGGAGGAATCTGCTTCAGGAAGGTAGAGACAAGCAAATGAATGAGTGTAGGCTAAAGAAGACATCTGTATTGCTTCCAAGACCTAAGCTAGTGTTTCACCTAGTGCTGTATTGGCTTACAAGCCTGCTCACAGCTAACACCTGAATCTCTAATGGAGGCTGTGCTGACTGGCTGATGCAGATGTGCCTGGAGCAGAGCAATTTAGGTAATCTACATGTGGTGTAGATTGACTAGCTGAGTTGGAGGCACCTGAGAGATCTGCCTGTCCATCCTTCTTGCATCCTGGATTCATCAGATGCAAATAACTTGCTTGGTATCCTGATGTATGCACACTTCAACCTCTTTATTCATCTATGTTATTTTGCAATACCCAGGTGGGAGGTTTCCTGCTGCAGTTTGTCTTGCTCTGCCTGGAATTCCTTTTCCCATTTCTATATTGCCTTCTTGAGTTTACAAAGTTAAAACAGAATTCATTAACTTTCTGTCCTAACCATAAGGGCTGGGAGAGAGAAGTACTGACTACAAGGAATCTCCACAAGTTTGTGGAGCCTCACTGAAATCTCCAGAAGCTTCTGTTCTGAGGCTATGATTTGGCATGTTAAAAGACTTTATACTTGTCTTTTTTGTCACAGTTGACAAATACTCAACTTTTGAGCCAGCATTGTAAAGACAGACCTGAAAGGGTACCTGTACAGTGCCCTACTAAAGTCTGTCATTCTGGCTTGATGTGCAGAGGCAGTGGGGAATTAAATTTCTCTTACTGGGGGTACAGTAGAGTACCTCTCCTTAGGCTGAATGCAGTATTTCAAAGGACCTGGAATTAGACCTGTCAGGTGTTTAGGACTCAAGTGTGACAGCGTTGGCCTTCCAGGAAAAAATTTCTGAGCAAACTTCAGTGTCTTGACAGTGACTGCCACAAAAATGGGACCCCTTTGCTTGCAGCATTGGGCAGTTCTGTGTGAAGCACTCTAGATCAACAATAAAAAGTAATCTGTCTACCCACTTGGAGTTTCAAAGAGCTCCCCAGAAGCTTTCTCTCTGTCACATCCATTTTTCACATACTAGGTATTTTTTTTCCACTGTATTAACTGTATTTCTGCAATTGGCATTTGCCAGTCCTAATTTCCCTTCTAAGTGCCTCATTTTGAGTGCCTTCTTGACTCCAGTGCAAGTGCCTTGTTGCTGTGTTATTTGGTGTCTACCTTCTCCTGAAGACTTCATCTCATCAGAGCTCTGATTTAAGCAAGTATCTCTTCAAGCCCAAGCAGAGCAAAGCAACATAGGGACATTGTAAGAAATTTTGTTTTAGACAAAAACAAGCTTGGATTTTCCTTACTTGTGTCAGCTGACATGCAAGCCCCTGGAAAAAGGTTCCTTATTTCTGGGTTATGAGGTGTGTTGAGGATGTTCCAGAACAGAAGAGGTTATGGCTGAAGTTTTCCATTTGCATGGTTTTAAAAAGAAATTTTATTACAGGTTTTGGTGAAATTAGAATTGCTTCTCCCTTTTTGTAATTTACATTACAGCTGAGTAGCACAGAAATAGGAGCCACAAGCACCCAATGAATGGCCATTTCTGATGTGCACTCAGAGCATGTGGCCAGAGCCGAGGAGAAGTGGTTCCTGGTGTCTTGAGAGAACATAAGGCTAACATCATACTCAGTATTTCTGCTGACCTTAGCTTTTCTTGACACCTCAGCTCTTGACTTCCTCCCTTCTATTATGGGCTTGCTGAAGTCTTTGTGCTCCAGAAGCTTTCTTCTCAGGTGTGTGATCTAGAACTTTTTCCTATTAGCTCCAATTTTATCACTTAGTAGAAATTAGCAGTAAATGCCTTTAGCTTGCCTTTTGTTTTTTCGCTGCTGCTTGAGTGCTAAGCTGCCTGTAATTTGTGTATGATCATGAGAGTCCCTCAGTAGAGTGTGTTACTGGAAGTGCTGACATTTTAGACCAGGTGCTGCTTTGTTTCTCCCTTTTAACTGGTCTTTTGTCCTCAGCCCTGACTATGACCAACTTCATTTTCACCTCAGTAGTCCCAGAACTGTTTTCACTCTGGTCTTCACTTCTATCACATAGGCTGTCTTGCTGTATTCTCCTGGAAGGTTAGGCTGTCTCCCTGCCCACTTGTCCTCTCCCTTGCCTCCCTTTTGGATGTTTTTGTTGCACTCCCCCCTCCTAATAATCATGTACTTCATTTCCTTTCAGGATTCTGCATGGCAACTGTAATTTTCAGCAGCTGGTGAGGTCTAGGGCTGGGCTCTGGATAAAACAGATTTGTCACCTGTAATAAAATGTACTGTCTTATTTCCTCTTCCTTGCCTTCCTTATCAGCTAAATGCAGTTTCTATATAACACTTGTGCCTGCTAAGGCTAATGTAGACTTTTCACTTCCTTTTCTGTACATTTTGCCGTATTTCAGGGCAAATTTTGTGTAAACATATGCTGCTATTTGACAAAATAGTGTCACATGCAGTGGATTGTCAGGTCAAATGTGGAAGCTGGACTGTTTTGAGTCCTGCTCCTTTTACTAGTCTGCATATTTTTATGCTAACTGCTGAATTATTCACATCCTCAAGCTGCATTAGGATCCACTTGCAGAATTACTGTAAACC